GAGGAACAGCTTCTTCCCCAGAGCTGTAGCCTCCATCCATCCCCCCCCACAGACACACCACTGTAGCTGCAACTCAGTCATAAAAAGCTAGCACCACCCACCATCGGGCTGCTGAAGATCCTACTGACTTTACTGATACACTTTATACTCTGTTTACACTGTCAAAACAAATGTTTACACTGCACTGTTTGCACAAACTTTATTTTATTATTACTTTAGTAACATTTTTATTCCTTTATGTATGTTTTTATCTTGTATATTGTTTATCGTTGTTGTTGTTGTTCGCTGCTGCTGGCTGGCTGAGGGCTACCAAACGAAATTTCGTTGTATCACTACAATGACAATAAAAACCTCTGTCTTTATCTGATCTTTATCTTCCATCCTTCAACCAGTTCACAGATGGAAAAACTCAAAGAAAAGGTTATTACACAATATCGGTATAGAGCTGTGGAGGATCTGTAGTCTATTAAAAGATACCATTCCCTTTTCAGAGGTAATTAATAATGCACTCATTGACCACGCTAAGGCACTCTACTGCTATGGCCTCCAAATAGTTTACATAAAAGCTCTTGACGATCATTGACATATTTACAATACAGTTCAGAACTTACATTAGATAATTCCAGGAAGACTTAGGAAAAACAATGTCGTCCTACAAACTCTGAGTGGAAGCTAAATTATTTTCAGAGCTGGCATAAAAATCCACCGCATCCAGGTTCTTTCGTATTTGATCTGCCTCTGGCAATTTTGTGCAAAAAGAGATAATGACTGTGAATGTGTAACCTATTATTTCTTCATTTATATGTAGTTCATAGCAGGGTGGCTAAGTAGGTATGAATACATTCCTCAAGCTGAAAAATCCCAGCGGGATGTTTTTATAGTCTGTCCGCAGTCCTTACCTGTCCACACCAATAGCAGTGAGAGTGAAGACCGACACGTAGACCGTCACAGGCTGGATGAGGTACACCAGGTAGCACATGTAGCGGCCAAACACCCAGCCGTTTGGGTTGAAGGCGTACGCCAGTGTGAAGGGGACACATGTGGCGCACATCAGCATGTCAGAGAAGGCCAGGTTCCCAATAAAAAAGTTGGTGACATTGTGCATCTTACGGGTGCGGCATATGACATAGAGGAGCAGGTAGTTGCCGAAGACGCCCACCAGAACCACCAGGGTGTAGCAGGGAATGATGAGCAGCTTGAAGGACTGTAGCAGCTCTACACCCACAAACTGGGGGCTGCGCTTGGAGGAGCCGTTCTGCAGCGCCACCTCAAAGACCTGACTGGTGTCATTGCCATTCACCTCATGCACCACGCATGGGGGGGTGAGCTCAGCTGCCCAGCCGCTGCCTGTGCCCTCCATCCCAAAGGGCTAATGTTGACCTTGGAGAGCTGAAATCATGAATACAATCAAATACAGTGCAGGTATTCAACCACACGCAGTGAAACATCACTGCCAAGCCCAAGAATAAACTGAATGACTGATGAACATAAATTCTACTGCATAGACACGTTTATACAGATGTCCCTTTTGAATGCTGATGAGATCTACTGTTTGGTGAACAAATTCTTCTGGCTGCTTATAATTCTTGTCTTTGTGATGACACAATTTGCAGTCCTGTATAGCTCCAAAGGGAATATCACTGTACTGTACATTGGCGAACTAAATGATAAGTTTGAAGTCTTAAATGGCATTATTGCTGTAGACATTGTCTTCCACTGTGAGACAGGTATAGGTCCTTTTTAGTTATTCCATCAGATTTTCAGAACTTAAACAGAAACATGAATGAATATCAAAGCAAACTCTGCTCCGTGACTCAGATCTGCTACGCCATGGGCTATTATCTATGCACTCTACATGTGCAGGGTGTATGCGCACAGCACAGAGGGTATTGTCTACAATTTACATCGATTCAATGCAATGATATTTAGCTCAGCTGGAGACATATAAAGGACATATTGTGGCAACATGACTGTATGAGAAAATAGAAGATTATAGTCCATAAATGTTGAGCAGAGGGATAATGAATTCACCCAGTGGTGGCACACTTTGCAAAGACTTGTTGCATTTAAAATTTACCGTTCAGATCGAGACGTTTGAAAGAATTGACAAAAAACAGACAAAACAACGATTCAACCATCCATAATTCTCCAGATGAGAGTTAATCAAAAGTCTTGATGTTACAAGTAAAGAAGAGGTATTACACTATTTATGTCTCACGGTGAATACGATTAATTGAATTGTTACCGTATAAAAACATTGTGTTTCTTGTTAGACACGTATCTGTAACAACCGACTCAGGATCAATTGGTTTCAACACTACCGTATAGGCATATCCCTTCTGCCAAGCAGGATGAATAAATACATTTTAACAGTTTGGTTGAACAACCATCGAGGCATTAAAAAAAATATTCACCAATAAAGAATACCAATCATCTAAACTCAAGCATACTCGAATAAGAAAAGCGTTTTAAAATGAAATGACACCGAATTGAATTGGATAAAACAAAAGTAGCACTCCTACCGTGTGTTGGTCCTCAGTTTTCAGAAGCAGAATATGATTGCTGGAGAGATAAAGCGCGGAGCCCCTGTGCGCTTCTGGCAGAGATGCACGCTTCTCACACAGACCAACTCACATGGTTTCTCAGCACTGACGCGGGAACCTCTCGTGTATCAGTATTGATTTGAATTGCAATTACTTATGTGGCAATGTTTCAAGCGTGTTGCCAGGCGATCAACAGGTGGGTGACGGGTATGGCTCTCTTTTATATCTGCCTTTAAATCACACTGACTGCTCTAATGACTGAAGGAGCTGCTGACGCACGGGTCCCCGTGGAAGATATAGGCTGCATAGAATCAACGGAAAAACATGTACGATACACCTCAGTACAGTGACACGAATTTCTGTATTTAATTCCTCTATATGGTCTCACTTCGATAGGACTGCTATGAAATAGTGCACAATGCCTGACCAGCTGATAAACATTATTATTATTATTTTTGTGAGCAATACAGAGGAGCCATGAACATATTAATGTCAGTTATTAGTGATTCTCATGGCAAGCACCCTTATGCATGCCCAAAAGGTCACCATGCTATCTGAGCTCAATGCCATAGTGGCTCTAATGTTTGAACTATCATCCTTCACTGGTCTCAAATATTTGTAAAAGGGGCCGAGGGGCAGACTGATAAGGAGGTGAGGTGATGTGATGTCTTAATGTTGAGTGGCCTTTGTGAGGACAATCAGAGCTGTAGCGCTGAAGGCATTGTGTCTCATTTGTGCAAACTGACTCTCGGTTTCTCTTAATCAGGGTAGAGACAAAACCATCCCAGCTATATGCTGGCATGATTGTGAATCAATAGCCTTGTGTGAAGCCAGATGACCAGACCTGTTAGAGGCGAGCCTGATGCGACATTCACAGTGGAAGTTGTACTCAGTGTGTCTGTGCCTTCGCCACATTCATTTACAGATACGAGAGATTTGTTGTAATCAGTAGAGTTTAACTCTCCTCACTCTTTCTCCGGCATGCAGCCAATCATATAGCTCAGTGCCCTGTCAGCAGGATCTGTTAAGACAGAGGAAAGCCACCACTTTTTCGTGAGCTTTTCGGAAAAGAAGTCAAAACACGGAGCAAATGGAAATGCAACACAACCACAAACGAATGACAGTTCACACTCAATTTTGTGACTAAAATGCGTCTTTTGAGTCAAAAATGTTTGTGTAAAAAAATTGTAAATGTCAAATTATTTATTTGGAAACTATTCATCATCTGTCCCTCCAAACCAAGGTCCTCTTTTAGAATCTTTGAAGAATGATATTAATGGCAGAAAATAAATTTCTTCTCAAGCAAAAAAAAGGAAAAAATGAAAGATGAAGATAACTACAGAAGAGAGGGGTTTACTGTGATTTCATTCAGTTCATTCAGTTTGACATCTTGTATATGCTACGGTACATGAACAAGCATGTTTTTGTTCATTCATTCATTCATTCATTTATGTAACTGTGACAAAACATCTAACAATAGCACACAGCACACTACTTCATTGTGGTTATTTCCATCTCTCTGGCTGTGTGAAGTGTTTCCAGATTTCTCTCTTATTGCATGTTCTCATGCTCAGACTGTACATGTTGTGCAGCTGCAGTCGTCCTGTTTGACATTAGAGGCCTACTTTCTCTAGAGTCTGAGCTAACTAGTTGATTTAAAAAAGGTGTGTTTTCGCCCACCATTTAAGCAGTGGTGAAAGAAGTGCTCAGATATTTTACTTCAGTAAAAGTAGCAATACTACAGTGTAGAAATACTCTGTTACAAGTAAACGTCCTGCATTCAGAATTGTGCCACAAACGTATTAGCATCAAAATAAACTCAAAGTACCAAATGTCTAAGAATGGAGAACGGCCCATTTTAGAATAGCATTTACAACATTATAGGATTTTAATTGCTTATGCATTAATGTGTTCATAACTTCAATGTTGCAGCTGGTAATTTTGATTATACTGATGGGAAGCTTTTTAACACCCCACCCTGGGGATCAGTAAAGTCTTATGTTATCTTAATATAATACATCATGATTTATTGTTATTATATTTTGTATTAATGATCTGAATCTGCAAAGTAACTAGTAACTCAGATAAATGTAGTTGAGTAAAAAGTACAATGTTTGCCTAGTGGTGTACAGATATAAAGTAGCAGAAAATGTTCACAGCACAAAGTACCTCAAAATTGTACATACAGTATCAGCACTGCACTCAAATAAGTGTACTTAGTACTGTGCACCACTGCATTTAAGTTTACAACATTTGACCAGATATGACCAGCAGCTGTGTCATTTTGTACAAAGAGAAGACAACGCGCTGCTGGCTGACAGAATTCACACGAGATGTTAGTACAAAATCTATGAATGAAAAAAAAAAGATGAAATCCATAACTTCAAAACGACGGTACAATACTTCAGATTGGCCTTTTGTGTGACTTTGCTTTCTAAAACTTTGGGAGTATTGATGCTGTTTTCCATATGGTCCTCAATTTCTCTCAGTATCTGAAGCGCGTGGACAAAAACATCTTACACCCGAAGAACTAGTGAACAATCCCAAAAGCAATTAAACAGGCAATTAAACAACAATGTACCTCAGAATGTTGTGCGCTCCTCAGAGACAGTGTTCAGAGGGAGCTTTTCTCAAAGGTCAAACACAGTCAGTGTGAGAAAACAAAACTTCAATCCCTGAGAAATAACAATGTGATGAGTCACCGTGGTGTGTTCCTACTGTGCTTACAGCTTTACATTGCGTTGAATAATTCAACCTTCACAGCCTCTGTTTTGGGGATAAAAATGTATGTGAATCTATCCTGTGGTATCTACTCTAAATCTGACTTAACTCCCATAGTCATATCATTTCATCATGCTATTATGGTGAACACACACTGCTGGTGTGTAGCGCCAGGCATCTGATTGTTCTCATTTAACACTATAGCTTCCTTTTGTTCTTGTCATCAGTTGGTTGGTTGGTACTGAAGTCTTTACTGACGTTGGTGGTCCCCTGACCTTTAGTCTAATGTAAAAGGAAATGAAAACTGTAACAGATGTTCATTATGCCCATGAGCAGGTCAAAACTTTCAATTTGTTTATTTTATCCAGTGGAATACCTACGCAGAGCTCCAGAGAGGAGACACCCTGCACTCCGGATATGATACCTTATAAATGTTTGCTTTCACGAGCATGCCAGGTGACACACCCATGATGTTCGTGACCTGCAGGCCTTCAGTAGGGGCTGGCTAACATGCTAAATGCTAAACTTGCTCATGTGCTGGATCCACCAGCTGTGACTTCTGCGATCACAGAGGATATGCAACCTTCAGTGAGGCGTCTGAGTGCTCTCTGCTGCTGCTGTGACGGTCGGGCTTTATTCTGTTTTAAAAAATGTTTTGAATGTGAGGAGCACATTGGGATCAGAGAGAATGAATCGGTTATAAAGGGACAGACGGGCTGAGGTCACTGGGGCAGATCGCGGAGGACTTCACTTGACCCTTCGGACAGGTGAGTACAACAACACGTTGCTCTCTTGATGGGGACGTCAAAAACCAGTTCGTTGCCTAGCAACTGGTGTACAAACTGCAGTCTCTCCATTGCTGTGTGTGTTTGGCTGCAGCCGCTGTGTGTGTTTGTATTGTTTACACGTCCATGTCTGCGCACGTTATGTTTGTGCTACTGATGATTGCAGGCGCCCGCCGTGGGGTCCATGCATGGCTCTTATTACTTGTCAATCATAAGTTTTGTTTAATTGTCTGAGTTTTGTTTCTTGTCCAGAGTACTCAGAGGAGGGCGGTTGTATATTCATATATTCAGCTGGTATGGACAGAAGGGGTCTTGTTGCTGACGTTGTTCCACTTGTGTATAAGTAGACATTTAATGCAATATATTTTGTTTTATTATTATTTTTCTTTAATTTAACAATTGTATCATATATACTATTAATCCCCCTTTTAAAATGTAAGGAAGTGACGTTTACTCAGAGTACATTTTAAAGTACTTTTAAAATGTATTTTAAGTAACAGTATTTTATCTTGAGGACAATAGAAGTAAAGGGTTAATACAGTTAAAGAAGTAAATGTAATAGTGTTAATTATATGTAGTTTAAAGCTTTGAGTAAATGTAGCACATTTGTTTAAATCATGTCTTGTTTTTAGTTACATCTACCTAGAATTTTAATTGTATCCACTCATTTTTTATGTGGTTTTGACTTAGGGTTACTTTTGCATTTACTTAGGATTCAAATTATAGCTGCTGAGTTGTATGTATGTATGGTTCTAAATGTAGATATTAAGATCTACTTGATATTTTTACTAACATTTACTCAATTCCTATACATTTAAATGATGTACGTAATTGTATTAGTTTTTAGAGTGTATCCTTTTCACCTCTGGTTACTGCTTTATGCAAGATGTGATTGACAGCATCCAAATAAGGTCTCCATCTACATAGACAGACACCGAAGAGTAGTCTGTCAAATTTCTGCAAAACGTGTGGGTTTACTGGGTTATGTATTGAAGCTCCTGCAGGTCTGGTCGTACGTGAATAAAAAATGGATGACATGCAATCAGCGGCAGCCTGTTTAGTGCTTTAGCGCAACACTGTAAAAACAGTTCAGAGAACTTGATAAAAAACCTGTAGGGTTACCAAGTTGACCGTCATATAAATCAACCAGTGTCCTTCTGATTCTGACTAAGCAGCTAGATGAATACAATTAGACAGTTTTGAAAATAATCCAATTTTATATATCACAGAAGAACTGGAAGCTCAACCTTAATACGGCTCCAGAGATCCACACAGACACATTTCTGTCTATTTTAGAGGGGGGCAAGGGATCTTCAGGAGGAGATAGCAGGTCAGAAGTATATGCCACATATGCATCATGATGTAAGTAAATGATGCCATTCCTGTGCTCATTTATGTATCAAAATTTGTTACAGCAAATTTGGGTTGATTCTTTTTGTTAAACGGATTTGGTGCAAAAGTCAATCAGTTTTGACCACCCCAAAATTAATAAAAGTAGTCAGAAATCCCTTCAAAATACCAAATTAAGACACAAATGCTGTGATTTGGTTTTAAAAACTTTCGATATTTTTAGATTTCTGCAGGAATTTCATTTTTCGGCAATCGGATGACCAACGCATCTTTTCTGTAAATTCCTCAGAAACTGTCTTATTATCAGATACCAATCCTAGTTTCATGAGACTGTTATAATAAGGTTAGGGTTAGGGGTTACAAACAGGTCATTTTTTACAGTGACGGCACGTTTTAAAAATGGTCTCACTATGTGAAATGGCTACTATGGAAACTGACATCATCTTTCTTGAATATCACCACGTCCTGTCAATTGTATTTTAGAGGTTAGTCAAATAACATGCACTATTCATAATTACTATTATTACAGAGGATTATACGGTTCAAGTAATTCCTGTATTATTAATCCACTTGAAATGATTATCTCCAGGGAATAATTTGACAGTAAATAAGTAATATAGATTATTCTTGTTTAAAGTCAATAGTGTTTGTTTACTCAGTATGAGTCAGTATGGCTAATCATTGATCACTGTCAATCAGCACATCCTTTTCTGTGTCCCAGTGCACTAATTATAGGCCTACGCCAGCAGATGAACACACCTTAAATCATTCACTCTTGTGGTAAAGAAAGGCTGCTCTGTGTCCACTGAGTGGACCCATGTGTCCTTAATTTACTTGCTGTGACAATCTAGAGATCTGCTCACACAAGACAAAGTTAACTGTTTTTATGATCATTTAGACTGCTATCTGGCATGTGATTACTCCTTCAGAGTCTGGGTTAACATCAGAAGTAGATGACAGAGAACAGTGTTATGTTATTTTTCTCCTAGTATGTCAAGGACAGACGGCTCCGGCTCCGCTATAGTCGCATGTCGATGTGTCCTTGAGGAAGACACTTAACCCCAAATTGCTCCCGTAGCTGTGCCGACGGTGTGATAGGATCTGAATTGTAAGTCGCTTTGGATAAAAGCGTCTGCTAAATGACTGTAATGTAATGTAATGATTTATGGGTAATGCTGATATTAACTGGAAGGCAAGCAACACCTTTCTCCCATTACTTTAGATTGTTGTAGACCAGGTAATTCCAGTTTTCTTGGTAATATTTGTATTTATATCCCCTTTATTCATGTATGCAGGGATAACAGTATGTGGAATATTAGGATGCATGTAAACAACTCATCGCAAACTTGAAAACTTGAAAATTCACACTCGGATGCAAATCAAAGGGCTCCAAACAGCATCTAATGGCTCAGACTCTGTATGATGGTGGATGTTGATTATCCTCATTGTTTACCCAGGGTCACTGAAATGAAAAGAGCGAGCACACTGCCTCCATTAAATACTTCGTGGCAATCTGTTTCTCAGAACTACACAGTATCCAGTACCATAGTGCATATCTCTCAAATGAAAAGAGGGTATAAAGTTAGTTATGTAAAAGCAGCATGTTTTCCAAAAAAGTGTGTCCACACAGACCTGCATGATAGAGGGAATTACTCATTAATGTTTCCAGATGAGCAGTCATTTGCTTTACAATACGTTCACATCATTTGAAAATGCTTCTCAGTTGAAAGGAAATGTTACTAAAAACATTGTTTGGCAGGATAAACCCCAAATAATCCAATTCAAATACAACTCTTTTCAGAATAAAGGTTGCTCTGTGGGAAGCACCCGAGCTCTTAAACCTGCAGCATCAAGTACATTATTTTTAAAATGAAATCATTTGAATAAAAATATTTTGGCTTCTCGTTTCTCTAATTTGATCAGTCTGCCACTTTGGCAGTCAGATATGAAGGTATTGATACTGCAGTCCTTCACTGAGTCACAAACCTGGTTGATGAGAAGAAATTTGTTGTACAGGTATGAGGCAATAATTAATAAACATTGAGAAACTCATAAATCACAATATCTTTTACTAAATACTTTATCGGTATTTCAACAGTATTGTTGGGTCGACCATTGGGGCTTTCACAAATCCTTTACACATCATCAGCATCGTGATCAGTATTGTGGATATAATGACTAAGTCTGTAAATAATGGCAAATAATAGAACAGCAAGAACAGTCCGGTAAGTTCAGTAAATTACATCAATTACTGTAATTCAGCCTTTAAAACCAAGAAAATACAACACTTATTCCGATATTCAAAATCTAGGACAATATCTAGGTTCAAATCAGAATATCAATATAATATTGATATTGCCTAACCCTACCTTTTGATATTTGGATATAATCAAGGACTAATATACATCAAACATATATATTTATACAAGAAGTGCAAATGTTTGTGACATTGTTAAGGTCAAGGTTGTCTACTCAGCATGATTAGATTAGAAAGCTTTATTAATTCCCCGTGGGGAAACTCATTTTCCACCAAATCGACTCATACAGACAACAATAGACATAGTTTCCACAGTGCACAACAGACAGAAAACACATTACAACTAATACATAACAACATAAAATGCCATTTGAGACATGAATAACATCAGAAAGATACTAAATCAAAAAACCACATCTAAAAAATCGGACTACTGCTGGAACAAACAGCTGAGTTGTTCAGTAGAACACTGAGGCATCCTTAGTCACTCACTGAATGAGCTTCTGAGTCCATTAAAATCACAGTGTAATGGATGGCCTTCAACCCAGTTAAATTATAAAAGCAGCTGAGATCTGCTGTGAACGCATTGGGTTTATATAGCATCCTTATTTAATCCTTTTATTTGAAGGCAGTAACCAATATATGCTGTTTGAACAAGGCCTTTCCCTCTAAATGTTTCTCATGGTCACTGGTGAGCTCTTAATTCACCTTATATTAAATAGATCTTACTGGTAAGTGGTCTGGTGGTCTTCTACAGATGAACGGAGTACAGTAATATAGCCACACAAACATAATATACCTTCATTGATTTTACAAATTGAAAACTATAGAACAACTCACTGATGTTAGTTTAATATATAATGACTCACACCCATTCATGACATTAACATATAGATGACATGTCCACTACATACGTAAATGAATAGTTTGACATTATGGGAAATACAGTTAGTCAAGTTCTTACCAAGAGTTAAGTTAGAAGATCGATACCATTCTAACATTTGTTTGTTTCTCCTTTGTTTAAAGGTGCATTGTGTAAGACATGGCCAGAATTTCTCAAAAATTGAACTAACAATATCAACAGAATGTTAAGGAATAACGCTGTTAACATAATGTCAAAGACATGTATGAAAGATCTACTGAAATGAGCATGCTAACCAGCTAGCCGCGGCCTTTCCTGAACTGTAATACCACTTGTACATCGAGAGGCAATAGTGAGTCACTGCAGCACCCAGCAGGACAGGTTGTGGGTTCTTTTCTCGTTTCTGCCACTTAGGATTTAATCCAGTTTCAACTGTTTGATGGAGTTTTGCATATTCTTGCCATGCTGTAAGTTAGTAGTTGGCTTTTTTTAAATAACTGATGACAGTAACTTTTTTAGATTGTATGGACCCAGTTATAGAGGGAAATGCTGCCCCCTATACTTCTTTGGAGTATGTGGCCTGATCTTACAAATTTCATCATTATTCCATACAAAAGCAAACACTTAAAAACTGCAGTTTTGTTTTTTCCCTTTGTAGAACCACAAATGAATATTTTTACATTTAATTTTACATTTGTGTACGGATTAAACAATAGGAGACAAAGCGTGCCCAGCTGTGTAAAAAGTGTAAATATATATATATATATATCTATACATTTAAACCTGTAAACCTTGGAGTGACTGACAATATTTGCTGCAGACAAAAGCAGGTAAAGCAACAAAATCTCAACACAAATTTTGAATCCATCACTGTTTTATTATTTTAACTATGGCTGAGCTGAAAAAAAAAGCCTATTCAGCACAGGTTGAATGTTTGCTGCTCGCAGCTTTCTCGAGAACAGCTCATACAAACAACTTCCCACTCAACTCTGTGCTTTCTCGGGTCCTCAGCTGCCATGGCAGTAGTAGTTGCATCACATACCCAAGTTGCGGTTACTCACGGTGAGAAACACCAGTGAAGTGAAGACTCTGGTTCAGGAAAACACACCAGGGCAGACTTTACCTTGAAACAAGGTAGGCAACCTGGGCCTGGAGACCCGACTAAAAGGGCCCCAAACAACCATTGATTGATTATGTTTGGATATGAAAAATATTGAATTATGTTACTATTCTAACTCATTGTACCCCAAAATAACTTACAAAAGAATACCAAAGCATTTAAAAATGTGCAAAATATGCAACTCAACTGCATACTTCTTACTGTAGTTCTACTTCAGAGGAAAACATTCTACTATAATACATTTACCTGACCGACAAATGTACTCAGTACATTCTGCTGATGCAGGACTTTCTACTGAGCGGTCTTAAAAGTTTGACTTAAGAAAGAACGTTTTGAGGACTGTCAATATGTCACTTTATTTGGTTATAATATGTTTCCATGCAAGGAAGTAACCATTTTGATTCCCAATACGTGGTGGGTTTATCCAAATAATGTCTGTTTGGAAATTAGCTGTGATCATTTTCAAACGGGGGAGAGCCGCTACAGGGGGCCTTGAAAACAAGCTGCAGACAACATGCTGGAATGCAGAGCCCTGAAGCCCCACCCCCGCTGCGGCACAGAGCGCTGTTCACTTGTTTATTCAAAGTTTATAAATATTGAATTTGTCGCGTGTCGAAATTGCACCAAACTTATCAAAGTACTCCCTTGGGTCCCCAGCAATACACCCTCCAAGTGTGAAGTGGATCAGATGAGCCGTTCTCGAGATATGCCAAGAACACACAGACAGACTTGCTTCCTCGCTTTATAGTTGGATAGATTGCACCTCTGTCATGAAAAGGCAGGGATGATTCAATAAGCAATCATATGTTGCTCTCCATTTTTCTGTATGTTTACCAGATGTACTTTGCAATAGCTGAACCTACAATTGTAATAACCATAGTCTTGAAACTGTGACACATGAAAGGTTTGATTTAAATGAGAAATTCAGTCAGACTGAAAAGCCCCTTTGACACTGATTGTAGTGCTTGTCCGAAAGCCACATGGTCAGAAGGACGTGGTCAGAGCCAGATGAATGGACTCGACGATATAGTCCAAGTTACGACTGTTGATTGCGCTCACGTTTAGACAGCCACTGGGGAGCAGATACACGTGTCTCTTCTTAGACAAAAATTCTACCTGCTCACCTAAAACAAAAAACAAGAAATATTGTGAAAGCACATCTAGATTGATGATATCATGGAAGGAAAAGAAGTATTCAAACCAAATGTTCATGTGAAAAAGCATTACAGCAATTCATGTAAATCGGTATCATTAACAAAGTCAAATCCCTTTGATGGCACGGAAATCATGAATATTTATTTCAAATTGATTAACTGCAATAAGTGCATATTATATAACACGGACAAAAGTCCAACATGGCAGAAACTCACCATTCAAGCCTGTAAAACAGTAGAGTCCACCTTGCTGAGTCAGATGGTCCCAGCAACCCGGAGTTCCCAAAAGCCTCAGCCTGTCTCTCAAAATTTCTCTGATCAGCATACATCTCTCCACAATGCACTTTACTTCTTCCTTCCTGGGAAACAGAACAAGTGGACAGCATTTGGGAAATTATATCTAAAGCATATAATTCAGGATTTGCAAAACATGAAAGATCCATTGAGCAAAAGTTGCATTTTGTAAATGAAGGATTTCATCACCAGTTCAACTTTTTGAAGCATTGCATGCCTGAGGGAAGGCCTGAAACCGTCCAGTTATCGCTATGGACATCTACTGATACAGCAGCAATGTGCCCACCCAAGCCGCATTCTTTAAAAGATAGATTATTTATTCAAATAAGGCATTACTCACCATTCAACAAGATGGGCTGGGTTACTGAGCACTGTGGCAACAACATGTGCTCCTCCTACGGATGGCTGCGCCCAGAGCGACCTCACTATTTTGTCAGCTTGAGACTCCATGGAAAACAGGAGGGAGTTCTGCTTTAAGACGCACAGAAGGTGCCCGACAGCCTCACCTTGCAAAAGGAAGTAGAAGATGAGTCTGATGTGGAGAAACACTGTGTTCCAGCAGTAGTAGTGTAATGTTGCGCTCCCTTTCTCTTATGTTTCTGCTATTGACAATAAAGTTGAAGAGGGACACTTTTGAAAATGAAATACAGCACTCAGTTCTGGGCAAGTGAATGTTCACCAGGTCTTACAGAAATAAGCTGATGTTCCTCCCAATCTGAGGCGACCCAAAAGGCGACACCATGGGCACAAATGCCCTGAGCAGCGAGTCTCCGGTTCAATTGCCGGCTTGCTAGCAGGACCGTTTGCTGCATGTAATTCCCTATACTTTCTCTCCACTATCACAATTAAATAAAGGCATAAAATGTCCCAAAAACAACAACCTGCCTGACAATGTGTTGATAATCCAGTAGAAAGTGATTATAGTGATCACTAGTGATCATTCAACTCGGCCAGACATGATCACTTTAAGAGCTTTCCTCTGTAGAAAGCTCCAAACTGAAAGGTAACTGTGACTTCGTAGAAACTAAGCATACATTTTCTGGCATAAAAATTCAACTTGACGTTCTGTATTTTCTTTTAATATTCGAACAGCTCGGGGCAATACAGATATAACATCACAGATCATGCTTTGTTGCATGGGCTCATTTTGGCCCATGGCCATAGGGTGAAACACATATACCATTGAGTTGAGTGGTATTCCTAACATCACTTACTCACCATATAGTCCAAAGCAGTGGGAGAACGACTGAGCACAGAGGAGCTCCATCCCCTGCGATGCACAGTACTGAACAGGCCAGGCACCCCGCTCTAAATCTCCATAGCAGAGCGCCTGAGGAGGCAGCAAGAAGAAAGGGAAAAGCCTATGCCTCTGTTGAAAGAGTGCACAGCAAATGATCTAAGTAGGAGTGAGGAGCTACTTGACAATTTTGGTTAGAGGGCATAAATGTACATGTCTGTTACCATGATGAGATTTGCAATCAGAGCCCATTGATTCTGAGTGAGGTCTGCTCCGGTAGGATAGTGGGCAGATGCTGACAGAACAATGACACTTTGCTCCGGAGCCTTCGCCAGATCCTCCAGAAGCTTCTCCAAACAAATTCCCCGCTGCTTGTAATCCCAGTAATAATACTCACGGATATCTTGAATCCCTGCTGCCTGGAAGATACCAGCCAATGAGTCTGCAGGGAGGAGCAAGAAGATGAAACATTATATTACAGACCTAAAGCAGTACAAACTCCTCAAGATCAATGCTGCTTTAAACTCCAGTGTGTAATGAGTATGAAGCCACTAATGTGAGTAAAAACAAATTTTTTTATGCTGTGGTTTATTTCTTTTGAAAACAATTGAATTATCCAACATTTTAACCTCTAGTCTGAGCTGCATTACGTATTTTCTTACCTATGCAGAGTTAATGTTGCTATGGATACTGCTTCTGTCCATTGTGGCATATGAGTCTCATCCTCTAGTGTTGTTCATGATATGATGTACAGGATGAACGAGTAGTGCATGCAGCTGCAGTCACCACACTGGGATTATTAGCTACATGCAGAGTGTTATTTATGTTTCAAGAGCATGATCTAATGTGCACCAGCATTAAGAAGAGGTGAGGTGTAACTTACCATCACAGGGGGAAGAGAGGTAGACCGGCCCGCACCAAACAGCACAGGCATCATACCAGTGTTTCAAGAGTTCAGCCCCAAGACGCACAGCAGCGGTAAAACCAGGTGTTTGGACACCGAACACCTGCAACAGAAGTCACGAAACACCAAGATTTGAGTTGTTAACATGGACATTTGAGTACTAATCTTGTACTGATTTATTCTGAGGATGAAGGTGGACATGAATCCATGACTGTATAATTCTATTCCTCTGCACGATGCTGATTGATCGGGTGATTAAGTACAAGCTACTACTTAATCTCTTCGTGTTTGCTGCTGTTCAATCTAAGGCGTGAATCAATGTCGAAACTACAATCAGTTACAGTGCTCGTGTACAGCTGATATTACCCGATCCTCCACTATAGCTCGAGCGCTCTTCCCCAAAGCGACCTCCGTGGCTCGCCTGGTGAACTCTGTCACACCAAGAGAGGATGGATACTCCGGACGAGAAGTGGGATCAGCGCTTCGCTGTTGCTTTATTTTTCGAACAAGACGCAGTTCAAAGGTCTTCCCTTCCTCGCTGTAATACTCTGCGGAAGACAATTATTGCAAACATTTTGTTCATCCAACAAGACACTGTCTCGATCTGTGAAAAATAATTTACTCACAAAGTCCACCCTCAAATGGAATTTATCACACTATTTCTTAAATGTATGCTTTTTCAGTTTCAATGTGTGATTTGTAGTTATTATGTCATCTAGAAACGAGCAAGGGGCAACAATCAGGTCAAGGGTTTAAACCATGTGGTAGCACAAGTCCTCTACTGACAATATGCTTTAGAAGTTATTGTCTTAGTTTATTGCATATGTCAAGGTAAAGAGTTTGAACATTATTGAACAGATAATAAAGTGTAAAGATGGGTGATAGGATTGAGTTTGCTTGGAGGAATCTCAAAAGCTCTCAGGTCCACACAGAGCCCTGAGCTGCTCCAGTTAAAATGTACTAACTGTCAACTGTTCAAGTTTCATGCTCTGATTTAAAGCTGAGAAGTTTGGCCTACTCTTTTCCCTTCTGCTCTTGTACCACGCACCTTGAAAACTATAGCTAGTGTACATTTTGAGACTCCTCAAAGGAAGTCAATTGACTACAAAGTCAGCAGCTCAACTAACAACAGATAACAAAGTACAAATGGTAGGAAAACCCCTTACCTCTTCTCTTATTTCAGGGTTGAAACTCTAGAGATGTTTTTTTTTTTTAAATCATAAATGTACGAGCAGACTTACCTCTCCCTGCCAGGTAAGCCTTCCTGGTGTGAGTGTCTTTCTTGAAGGCGGACAATAGCCTTGTTTCAGGACTCCCTGCTGGGGCGTGGGTATTGGTAAACACAGCGAGATGGTCTCTTGGGTCTCCATTTTGCTTGACCACTTTTTCATTAAGGCTGCTGCCAGGTCCGCTCATCTTCAACACAGCCAGGAAATCAACTCGCAAGCCGCGAGCCCTTTGTTTGGGCACTGTTGCCAAGCTACAGCACGTATTTGGATACTGTCACCCCCGGCAACGGTGATGGAGGTCTGGTGAGTTTACTTTTGCCATCGCAGTGAGCTATCATCAAAGAGACTTAGCTTGTGAGAACATGAAAGGATGAGGCGAAGACGAGTCCCAAATGTATTGGCTTCATTCTTTAACACTGACAACAAATCAGCTCAGAGAGCTCCGTCTGCTTCTCATTAAGGTTTGTTTTGGTGGTTCTACAAAAGACCTGTAGCCTCCTCACATGAGTAAAGGACCACTCATTTAGACAGTGAGTTAAGAAGCATAGTTTAAGTGTTGCAGCTTCACTTAGTGTGTGTAGAAGCATATTCTGGAAAGGATTTCTTTCTTTCATGAGTTTCACTGATCCATTAGGCTCCATCTTTGTACAGATGGTTATATTCTTCCTCCTAGAATGTTTGGAGATCAAAGTTGCCTTTTAGATTGTGGAATTATATTTCCTTTGTAATCTAAATTTGCTTCTGATGATTTAAAATGTGTGCAGAATATATTCTATGTGTATGTGCAGCAAATTGCACATCCTTACTCAGATACCAATGGAAAGATACATCCAGACAGCGTAATGCTCCTTCGGTTGTAACAAAACACCACAGTGTTTGTGCATAAGGCTTCTGGGAAATAGAGATGTTCCTCTGGGGAAGAGAACTGAAGAACAGCCACTTCATGTGGATGAAGAAGTAGCAGTGAATCTCACAGTTGTTGCAAACCATAATCAAATGAATCCTCTTGCAGCTATTAAATGGAAGAGGTTCTGTAGTTGACTTTATGAAGCTGGTAGTCACAAAGCACTGCACTAGATGGCAGTAGATGGCCAAACCGTGTATTATTCCTGTCAATTAGTTGACCCGGATTAATTTAAGAAAGATTAATTGAAGAAAAATATGTTTGCTCAGCTTGCCTCATCCTCTGTGTCACAGCTTTTAGAGATTTAAGCATAATAGCAAATATAAAAGCAATATTATGTGTAGAGATGTACTGAGATGGCTCTCAGCAGAGACCTTAGTTTCTCATTACTTCCTGTGATGGATTTTTTTCCTTTCGTTGTGTGATTGTTAAACATCAGTACTGAATAGTGAGTGTATAAAAAAAGTGCTTTTTATTTTGCTCTCAGGCGGTAACAACTAAACATTTACCTTTCACTCTGTTGACTGCAGGGCATGTTTTCCTCCCATCTCACTGCATTATGGCTGCATTTAAATTATCTGTGGGATGTCAGGTTATTTGTGTTTGCCCAGTTGTCCATTACAGTCAAAGAACACAATGCACCCAGAAACACGGGTACAGAGGTAACAGCAAAAAGTGTTATAACGAAGCCACTGTTGATTCCAGGCTTGTGGTTATCTGGGGTAAAGACACATATATTCTTTTATCTACCGCTTTGTAAAGGAGTGAGAAAGAGGATGCCATGGCAGAGTTGCAAGCTAGACCCATTGGTATGTGCACCAGTCACGCTATTATATAACCAGGATGAATCCACAAAAGTGAATCTAATTAAGATGCTGTTGGCTTATTAGATTCAAGTGCTCCTAACTGGTGAGCTGAGCTCTTAGGTCTAAATTTGGTGTCAAAGGACTTCTTTTTTTGACTGAGATGCCCCGTGTTCTGAAAATATCAGTGTGGCCTGAAGAAAACTGTGACACTGAGTCTCAGGACAAGTTGTTGGCACAGGAAATCCTTGACGGGAAGGTTGTGATGAACAGTGTTTAAAGTCTAGCAGTTTTTACATGTCCAATCAAATAACTGCACACTTCAAAGTAGATTTTTTTTTAATCAAACACTGTGTTTGCCACCGGATGTCCAAGTGTTGAATTTTTAGACGTGAAAATGACCAGATATTTATTTTATATTGAACAGAATTGGACAGTGATTTTGTGAAAATAGTTTTTAAAAGTTTTATACTACATGAAATTTCCAAGAGGCAATTTCAAACCCTAGTGATCCAGATAGATTATGTGAAAGATAGTTTGTTACATTATCTGAGAAGCCGTCATTGGAGACAATTTGAAAAAGGGCAGGCACTTTGGCAGGTGATTGGATAACCAGTAAAATATTTCAATGCTCGAAACTCAGTGGTGTTTACGTTCCAACATTGTGGACTCAGTGTTTTATGTGATTTACATCAATACGGACTTCTTTTACTTTCATAGTGCTGAGTTTGCACACAGAGAGAGAGAACATGTTAAACAGTTTGATAATATTTTATTTCTCAATGCAACAGATGATGAGGTTAAGTGAGTAAGATGTTTCCTCCACAATGACATGTGAGAGTGTGTTATTGAGCCTTTACTTTCGCTGCTTGCCGAAGGTAAGGAGTAGACTGGAAACAGCTGGTAGCAGAAGTGTTTTGTTATGGGAAGCTGCAGTTTGTAATACTGTACCTTGCACATAGAATACTGATGGTTAACTGTAGACAGGAATTATGTTTGAGTTGTCCTGATATAAGATTTTTAACAGCCACCAATCGAAAATAAACATTTTCCATAGCTGTGAAAGAAAACAGAAAGACTGAAAACAGACACCAGAATTGAATATTTAAATGCACAGCCCTTTGGTTTAGCTCATATCACACCGACAGTGAGGACAGGCTTGCCAAAATCATGACCTTGTATAAAGTTAGACGAATTTTGTATTTTCCTAAAGATTCAGTGTATCATAAATAACTTACCAGATAATATACTGTACAAAACTAGTTTACTCTCATTTTTGAAACCACAGGCCACATACATTGTGGCCAAAGGTTAACTGGAATGCATTTAAAACTTGCAGCATTGTTTCATTCAGGATACTTTGGTGTCACTTGTTGTCTGTGAGTTGCTGAGCTGGAGTGGTCCATCTCCTGTCCACAGAAACAGTCACACTGTTCCTGTCCAGACCAAATCAGCTGTTGTCTCTACAGTCAATACATCCGTCTCTTTGGGGTCCGCTTCTCTCAGCTATACGTTTATTAGGGACGGCGGTTGTACGTAAGCTTGTCCTCGCTGTTCTTTGGTCTCTGCCTTTGCAGGAATCCCAGTAACTCCTGGGAATCATAGTTTGCTGCAGTCGCTTGATATTGCACAGTTCATCCGTCCTTTTCCAGCAATGTGAAGCTGAAAATAGATGGAAAAAAAGGCACGAGTGAATCTCACATGTGATAACATGTACCTATTACTTCTAAAAATGTTATGAGGTGTGCTGCACCTGATAACAAGGTCAGCCAGCGCTCTCATTATAAACCTCATTATATCTTTGACATGGTGTGCAGCGCTGTGAGATGTGATCCTGCGAACAAATGAGCTATTTCAGTGTATTATGACTTGTTGCCTGCGCTGCTCACACCCTGTTTGACATTCCAGTTTCTATCAGATAAGAAAGTTCCAAGACAACAACAATGATTTGTTGTCTTACAGGTTACTTACCTTTTATTTATTTTTTACTGTAAGTTTGCCCTCTTCTTTTTATGCTTTGAAACCTTTTTTCCCCCTAACAAGATTGGAATTCTGATGCTATCACCTCAACTACATGTCTCCACAGGAAGACATAAACTACCTAGAACTGTAAGCCTCACTGATATGTGCACGCATACTGAAAACAAATCTGCAGGAAACATCAGAATTCCCATAGTTTTATGGAATATAACCATTTTTACTGCAGAAGTATCCCTGTAGTCTTTGGTCTATTTCAGTGATTTTACGTTGATGCATTTGGAAGATTTAATGGAAAAGACTCCGGGAATAATATTTTGTTACACATTCTGTTGAATGATTCAACAAAATGTGTTCAACTTGGATCTCACATTCACACATGGATTATTGTTGGATTATTTTAAATCACAAACCACAGACATAGCTGGCACATATTTAGTAGTTAAAGGTTAAAGGAGTTAAGTTCATCAAAGTTAAGGAAAATCCATCCATCATCTGTGACATGCGTACTTTCTGTCTTTAAATATATGAAAGGGGGGTGCAACTAGAAATCATTTAGTTAACATGATTTTTGAAATTCTATTAAATATTAGGAGCGCCTCTCTATTTCAACAACACAAACTATTCATTAAAATGCATTAAATTAAGCTAACAAAACTGGTAACTGAGTTGATTTTTCTCATGAAGAGGTATATAAAGTAGGGCTGAACGTTAAACAAATGTATTCAATTACCAATATTGTGAATATTTTACCAACATAAAATGTATCTCAACACAGTTTTCGATATATAAATAGCCCTAATCACATATAATTACACTAAGAACAGCTAGCTGCAACAACCAGTGACAGTTTACTTGACATTTAATCAACCAATCAGCCCTCAACTCAGAATTGTTTGCCGGTCATACTGACAAACATATGAAAACCAAATACTTAACTTCCATGTATCATTATGTAGATTTTATATCAAATTGTACATCCATATTTCAAAGTGCTTTTTATTCTATACAAGTTAAATTACCACTGAGTCATACAGTAAATCAATGTAATTAGATGATCAGTTTCAATTATTTAAATGGTTAAAATCTTCCATTCATCGTTAAATATCTATAGCAATAGAGTATTGGTATTCTGAATACTGTTACTTTAATACTGTAACATGATACAGATTTGTATTTAGCTGCTGTTACGCTTTATTGCTCATTTTTATCTGTCCAAACCTTGACTGTTTAAAGTTATACTGTTCTCAAGTGTTTGCTCAACTCCCGGATGCCTACATTTAAAGACCTCACTGCAGTGGGATCGTTTCTGATATCAGCCAGGCTTGAAAGGGAGTGCTGGAGGTTTCTCACTGGTCACTACCACCATGTTTTGCTTTATCCTGCGCCTTGTTTCATGCTGCCTTAGGCTTGATCTCGCTCTAAGCTAACTAAATGCACATTATGGAAGCTGGTGTGTGAGTTTGGGTTGGAGGCCCTGTTAGCATGCTGCAGAGAAAAGCTCTGAATTATGTTGTAACAGCACAGGAAAGCAAGAATTAATGCAAGCTTGTCCCTCCTAAAACACCATCAAAACATCAGGATGCCTTAATGTGCGCCTACGGATATGCTCACTGCAGTGCTTTAACTTATTACACCAGCATTCGAGCGACTTTGACATCACACAGACCTTTAATCTGCCACACATGAGCAGCTCAGTGTAGTAAAAAAAAGCTTGTCACAGCAAATGTTTTTAGCCACTCCAAATTCCTGTTTAACAGATGACTTACCCTGTAGTATATTATGCATCAGAAATAACTTAAATTGTTTTACGAGTTTACTGCATGCTATATTTTCACACTCATACTCACAAAGTGTCCATTGATAAAGCACAGGTCGCTCTGGGAGGACTCTTGCTTGCTTGTGTGCTACTATAATGATGAACAGTTTGTTCCAGTAGCACACAGTCATTTATAAACCTGAGATGCCAGCATAATAAACAAAATGTCCTTTTAGATTTGTCCTCATGACTATATCTGAAATATTTAATTGAAGTTAAGAGTAATGAGCCACTTGTAGTGACTTTAGTGAGTCAGTATTTATACTGGAAATGTCATTCTCCACCTGCGTCTCTCTGTGCTTTGTGTAATGTCTGGTTATTTGTGATTTTAAAAAAGAACAAATAAAAAAACAGCTGGAAGTTCACAAGCTGAGACCAACAACATATATCCAAAGATGGGCCGTATTTATTTGTTTTCCTCATTTTTCTTGTGTGTGCGAATGACAAAAGATTTCTTGTCCCTGTGCCACCAGTGTCTGCTTTTCACACGAGATCTTGTTAATGTTTATCCTTCTGAGGTGGAAAGTATTTTAGTGTGCACATGTGATGGCCATGCAAGCCTATCCTTTGAGTTTTTGCAGCTGTTTTTCTCAGCAACATGTTGACAAATTGTTTCCTCACGTGTGTTTCTTCATACTTTAATTGTGATGCACCGACTCTTCATCTCTTCTCAACATTCACTCTGCAGTTTAGTCACCACCTAGTAGGCTGCTGCTCTATGAAATGTAATGTTCCGCTCTCTGTTAGCTTAATTTTAGTGTTCTCATTCATCTATAAACTGTGCTTACAAACTCCTTCCACTCATAACACACAACGATGCCTTTCAAATACATCAATATTTTGTCCTAAATACCTCCAATACACATATTAGGACTAATGCAGGAGCCGCCTGTCTCACTTTAGAGCAATATGAAAAACAGAGGGAGAGACGGCTAAATTCACTGATGCTGTAAACAATGTCATGTGGACTTTGCACAATTTAGGATTTTGCTTCCAGTTCAACCCAGTCGCCGAAGAAAAATGTTGTCATCATACGTTTCTTCAAAAGCATACGTTGAATGTTGTTTCTGTACCAAAAATACGTATCATAAATACTTTTCATTACAGCCTCGCAGAAATGCACGATGTCACATTGTTACGGCCTATATAGTGTGCCTAGTGGTACACTGGAAGTAGCATAAAAGGTGATGGAAAACCTTGGCACAAGTTTAACAAAAACCAAGAGGATAAGGCAGCGGCAATTAGATACATTTATTAACAGTATAGATGAACAGGAACAAACCAACTATATAAGAAAGCGTAGCCGTCAGGGTCTCTAAGGCCAACATAATAAACAAAACCCCCATGCTACCTGGAAAAGAAGAGGTCAGCTGAACTATGAACAAACAAACACAATACTGAACTCCTTAACTAGTCACAAAAACAGGAGAAAACTTTATAAAATAAAAGGCAGAGAACGCCTACAAAGCTTCCATTAAGTTTGAATCCCAGGTATGGCAGCACAAATGCTGTTGGTAGCAGCAACAGCAAACCCACAGCCCCACAGCCGGGAAACACTGGATTTACTTGTAAAGTTAAGGTCGTGTTGAAATAATAACAAAAGTCGCGTATCAACCGTATCTAGCATAAATATATAACAACTGCCCTTAGTGGACTCTCTTATGTAACAAGCGTAAAGTCAACGTTGACTTCTGGTCTAACACGTGAAATGAACAGTGGTCTCCTGCGGTAAAGTCCTGTGTTTGTTTGACTCATCCACCCGCCTAAGTGGACTTTCATGTACATGTAATTTTCCCCATTATACCACATGACTTTCAAAACCGGTTGCTTGATGCACTACGTCACTTGCACTTACCGAATGCAAAAACGTTGTCATTCAACGTACCTGTGGTTTACAGAAACATACAAAAACAACATGTCTTTGCTACTGCACTGACCACTGTGAAAAATTGCACTTGTCATATATCACATGGTGCTTACGTGACAGAAGGTGAAGGCTGCTGTGGATGTTGATAAGGGCAGCAGTAATATGCCTGCATGTAGTCCTATGAAAACAAAGTAACTGGTGATAATAAACTGGCTGCTACATGTTGTCCCAGGGTTAAAAGGAAATAGGCACAATTGCTCTTTTGTGTGGCGTAGATATAGAAGGTTGACAGGGATGACGGAGGCCTAGCATGGTGTTATTGGCACTCAACAAACCAGCAGTGCAGACTCTACCTGGAACCGTGTGTCATATTCCCTAATTAAACCTGTCTCCAAGCCACAGCCCCGGCAGAGTCATTCTCAAACGGCTGGTCTCACTTACGTTTGTAATCCTGCTCATAGCGCACGCAGGGTGAGTCTGCTGAGCCTTCCTTCCCCTTGGGGTGATTTACCACAGATCACACAGGCTCCTTTTAAGGAAGGCTTTTACATGCTCGTAAATGACTACCGTTTTACAGCTGCATTGATTGTGTGTTTAGTATTCCGCTGGGAGGATGTCATGTAAAGAAAAGTGAAAAATGATCTGTGTATATATATCTATATATATATATATAGATATATATATATGTACATTTAATTATGATTTGTGAATTTGAATTTAATGTTTTTAAATTGAACTGCTCACTAATCTTAATTTCAACCACTTTAAACTCATAGTGAATATTATGTTTGTCACAACAAAACGGCACTCAAGACCTTCAATTGTGACACATGTTTGAGACGTGATGATTACTACTTATTATGATAAATTATTACATTTTGAATACTTTTTTCAAATCAAATTCAGAGCACAAGATTCAATAATACAGCAAATATACAGTATATTTTATGTAAATGGCACAAATCTTACCTTATATATAACTAGCATTTACTTGAAAGATTAAATTATTGGTAAATAAAAAACGTTCTATTCCATTTCTAGAGTTAAAGCGCAACTCCTAATTATTAATACATATCTTCCTGTATTCTGTGACAGGCTTGCTGTCATCTTGTAGTAGTGTATTCCACCAACCCCATTCAACCTGAGTTAACTAGGTGTTCTCATTGGCTGTCAGTCTCATTGGCAACAGCATCTCCAGTTATGGGGGAAGTCTTGTGTGTAAGTGATAAAGATTTATCTGCTGCAGGCGGTGTTGGGCAGGGCACACTGAGGCCCTTTAAGAGGTAGAAAGCCACACTAATATTTGGAAATGTCACATCGCCCAGTGGTTTTAAAGAGCCATTTTACAGTCATCTCTGTCATGAAGGGACACTGTTTTTAAATACCGCATAGTGAAATTTACAAAAAAAAAAATACATTTACAATATTAGGGTTTCTATGAAATAGAAATAGATTATTGATATAGTTAACTATTATTGAGGAGTGTGCTAAACAAAACATTCTACAACCTTAAACACAGTACCAGCAATATTTTACTATATTAACATCGTCTGGGTTGAGTGATTACAGGTAACACCGTACAGTAACTGATACTGGTACAGTCATCAAATGTTTGAGTCATGCATGAAAATCCAAATATTACATTTCATTTGTAGTTTGGTAATATTGCAACACCCCGACTGCAGCCAATCCTCCATAAATGATTTATTCTTCTGCACTGTTGTGTTCCAAACTATTTTATTACTGGGCAACAGCACACTGATGTTTTATAATATGTCCAAATCTGGATTTCTATGTTTAGGAAATGCACTGTGAGCAGAAAAACTAGTTTTCTATCAAGCTCAAAATTTCGAAAATGTTATCTACAGTCCTTTGACTGTTGTTAATATTTAACATCTTTATTGAATTATCTTATTAGTTAAAATATTGGAAAAAGTTAAAACACTGTTATTGATCTTGATGTTGCCATTGTGTTTATGCGTGATGTCCAAGTGTACATAGCTGTCAAAATGATTTACATCATTGTCTTTAAATGATGGTTTCACTGTTTATACTTGAGGTGGTGGATGTTTTTAAAACATTTATCATACTTTTTAAAAAAATGGGAAGAAAAGGAAACTTACAATTTGGTTTCTGGCTCCGATAAGCCACTGTTTTGTGTGCTGCCGTTGGACTGCAGAGGATCAGGGAAAGCCTCCTCGCTTTTGCTGCTTCCATGACTCTCACTGACCTCAGTCCTGCCGGTTGGAGGCTTTTGGAAAGACCCGGCTGCAGTGCCCGACTCAGTCTGCCATAGAAAGCAGGAGCAGCGAGTCTGCAGCTCTTTATAGAAAGTATTGAGCCACAGGGTGGACCACCACGGACAGCCCAGCAGGTTCTTGAACGCAGTACGAAACCCTGGACTCCTGCAGTAGATGATAGGATTGAGGCCGGAGTTGATGTAACCCAGCCAGTTTAACAGTCGGAAGATCCACTCTGGGGGAATGTCTCTTTTAAATGCATTGATGATGTTGGCGACGAAGAACGGCAGCCAACACACAGTGAAGGTCCCCATGATGATCCCCAAAGTCTTCAGGGCCTTGTGCTCTTTGACGAGAATGAGTCGTGACGGCCTCCGCTTGACGCTCTTTCTCCGTACTGCGCTGCTGCAGCTGCTGGAGCCGGCACACGTCGTTGACAGGATATTATTAATGTGGGGGCCAACTTGCACCTGCGCTATTGAACACTCGTTCTGAAAACGCATGCGATTCTTATCTATGAGCTGGACCTGCTGTGTGGCTATTAGAAAGACTTTTGCATACACAAATATCATTATGAGCAGTGGAATGTAAAAAGACACTATCGAAGATGCAATAGCAAAGGCCCTGTTGGTCACAAAGTCACAGCATCTAGGGTTATCGTAGCACTCCTTCGCTGCTTCATCGTCATTATCACGCCAATACCCTTTCATAATTGGCACAAAGGAAATTAAAGCGGACACAACCCACACTAAGCAGACTATTGCCCTCGCACGCCACTTATTGAGTAGAACCTTGTATCGGAGCGGCCTCGTAATGGCTATATACCGATCCACTGCTATGACGCAGAGCGTCTCGATGCTCGCCGTCACACACAGGACGTCCACAGAGGTCCAGAACTCACAGAATGTGTGACTGAGGTGCCAGTTACCAGTCACCACAATAGTGGCCCCCAGAGGCACCACGAGGACCCCCATGATAAGGTCCGCGCACGCCAGGGACATGATGAAAATGTTTGTCGTTGTCTGTAGCTGTGAAGTGTGAGCTACAGCGATGATGACCAGCAGGTTTCCCACCACTATAGTCAGTATGATGATGACCAGTATGATGAGGCTCCAGGGTCCCGCAGCCCTGTGATAGGGGTCTGTTCTGTTGATCACATAGGGTGCTAAAGTGCTGAAGTTTCCATCCATTATGATCAGCTGAAGATTTGTTTTTTTACGTCAAAGTTAACAAAACGGGAGATTCCGCGCTTCTTACAAGCATCATAAATCTGCTGTCTAAATAATAGGTATTCTTTACTTTGCAGTTATTGCTTACATTTCAGAGCTTGGAAGTCTTGTTTGGCTGTGTTCAAAAGGCAGTAGTGGCTTTCCATGGTTCCATACGGGATGATCAAGACGTGATTGTTAGTGGAAGTTCTTCTGGTTTAGGCAACAGCAGCATGTCTTTCAAAAAAAGGATGTATCCAAACCGTCCACAAAGTCGTATTAGTTCACGGTGTTTCAACTCTTTCTTGAATCCAGGAAACGTTAACATAAAGTGGCAAAACGTTTTTGAGAAGAAAATCCGTCCGTGTCCACTGGGATTAGAGTAGTCTGCAGTGTTTCTGCTGAATCCTACATGAGCCACAATGCAACTGTCGGACTGCCAAGCAGCAGTGACACCGTTGCAAGAACCACCAGAGTGCACCAGAGTGGCTGCCCACTCTTTCCTTTGCTGTCTCTCTCTCTCTCTCTCTATCTCTATCTCTCTCACTCTCCCAGTGCAGGTTGCCCAAGATTGTATTGGCTCTAATCACACCCTGGCTGAAGGCAGAGGGGAGGAGTTGAAAAGTGTGTCTGTGTGCTGAAGCCATACAGGGCTCAGTACCCTAATAGGGCCACACACACAAATGCGAACAATCACACACACATAGACACACACACACACTTAATCATAGGAAAATAACTAATCCAGCATTAGAGCTTGTTATATGTGTGTAATGTTTGTCAAAACGGCAAAAATGATCTTTATGACACGCACATTGTTTACTTGTAAGTATTCAAAAGTATGTGACGACCATCAGCTCATTATTTTATAATATCACTGATGTTGTGTTGAATGAAGCAGCTGCACTAAGCATGTTAACCCATTAACTGTATCTGTCACTTGACTGTGTCAACAATGTGACAGACTTTTCCACTGCTGGCTCCTGTTCTGATTGTCAAATGATGCTGGATTATGTCGAACACACTTCCAAGGCTCACCTCAATGTTTTGTCATTCATTTCAGTACCGGCTTTGCAGTAAGCATTAACATTTTGGACTTTTTTGGTATAATAGTTTTTTATTCTGATTATAGCTCCCTTATTTCCCCTTTATTATGGCAACACTTAAGGCCTCTAAAGGTTTATTTGTAATACAGTTTGTGGTCAACTTTGCAGACCACAAAAGATGAGACACCCCCAACTACACCAGGAAATAAATGCCCTCCCTTTGACTTAAAGCAGTAAAAAAAAATAATAGATCGCTATCTCGCTTATACTGAAGCCAGTGCATTGAAGAAGAACAATCAGGGAAATGCCTTCCATGCGATCCACTCGAGATATCCAGCGCTCTGCTGCGGTGCTGAGCTCTCTTGTCACCGAGCAGTTCCTTCTTTGGTGTGATCAGCTGTACAACTGCAGCTGTGATTGCTCTGCGTTTATTCCCACCTTGCTTTTTACTTTTATTTAATGAGAACAATAACAAGAGAATCATTTTCATATCTTTCTACATAGCTCTCATGAGGATTTTTGCCCTTAATGTTAATGTTGCAATCATTATTTAGTGATTCATATAACTTTTCTCCTTTTAAAGAAGTTATAATCAATATATTTTTATATTAATACATTTATTAATTGACAAAATTAAAACAATATGAAGAGGAGAATCATCATTGAATCTGCAGCTCACGAAGCTTTATTGAGCTTTATAGCGAGTTTCAGCTCATAGTTCAGCTGTCAAACCCCAAAACTGTGTATTGCAGATAAGGAGCCAGATATTTCCTTCTGAAGACCAGAAATATAAAATAAAGATAGTGAATATTAGACTTATATTCTCTAAGGTCAGAAACACAACTCTAAATGAATGCTAATGTTGCTCTGTATCTGCTGAATGTGTAAAAAAGCAGCTGTTTGCCAACACGTTCATCATATACTGTAAACTCGAAAGGTAATAGGTCAATGTTTGCAACTTCTTTACATCGCTCCAAATAAATCTGATCAGATCAACATGCAAATATACAACTCTGAACGCCAAGGTTTACAAATTCTGCCAGGACATTACTTTATCACATCAGTTTTAAATCCCTAAGTTGTAAGGCTAACTGAATACATGGTTGACGACTTTAAGTATGTATGTAGCATCTGTCCAGTGAAGTCCTTTACGGCTTTTCTAAAGCAGCTACATTTTGTCAAATACTTTACTGCTGAGAGTTAGATGAGGTGATCGACGGACACCAATCTGTCCATTCAGTATTAAGCTACAGCTGAGAAACAGCCAGCATGGCTCTGTCCATAGCTAACAAAATCCAACCACCATTACGTCTAAATCTCACAAAATGTTTGTTTCTTCAAAGCTTCGGTTTTTGTACGGATTAAACAAACAAGTTTTAACGTGTTAATCTGTGAATTTAGAGGTGCTGCTAGAGCAAGGCCAGCTGTTTCTAGTGTTTTTGCCAAACTAAGCTAACATTGCGCTCTCTCCAGCTTCTTGTTGAACATAGTAACATTTTGTTTGCACTTTAGATAGAGCATCATATTTGGGTTCGTAAATGTATCGTGTAACAGACACGCTGAACATTTCACAGACTTCGTCATATCATTAAACATGAGTTGTTATGTCTACAGTCGGTAGAAAGCTGTGGGCATCTGTACTTATTTGTAGCCAATAAATGTCACTCCTAAGACAAACGGTCCAGAGAGAGAATCTAATAGACGTTTAATCAACTTGTGTTGTAGCATGCTTTTCTTTGCCAACACATACACAAGGTCTCCTTCCCGTTTGCCCCATCTAGGTTTAGATAGATTTTTTTTTTTTGTCAAGGCCACTTTGTCACTCATCTGGCAGGAAGTTGTGGAATTGTGAGTGCATTCACAAAAGGGAAAAGCGGGCAAAAGCAAAACACTGGCGCCTTTTTAAACTTGATGACCAAGAGGCCCAATCTTTGCTGTCGATGAAGGTCACCGCTGTGGAGCTGACAGCTTGATAGATGCTCATTTGTCTTTGCGTGAGAAGATTCCATTGGACCTGGACCTGGTCCTAGTCAAGCACGGCAACTGGCATTAGAAGTTGTTGATAGAGGACTCAGCCGTGACATCTTTCTCACCATCACAGAAAGACTTGTGATGGCAAGATTGTTGTACTGTGCATGCAGTGATTAAATTACAATGCCTTTGCAAGAATACATTTAACCATTTCTAGTTGTGATTTTCCTTACATGTAATTTACCAATCAGTCCAAATGCGTAATGTCTGATCTGTTTTATCAGATTAACATAGTTATTCTTACTGTAACGGACTCAGGCTGTCTGATGGACATGGCACTGGAAATATAAATAGTCTCCAGCGTGTAGAAAGTGTTCTAGCATGTACGGTAGCCTGTATGGCACTGCATCATGTTTTCTCCATTTTAAGGCCACCCTAGAGTGCTATGCATCATATGTTCTCTACTATTTTATTATGTTTTATCTACTTGAAGGAAACCCTAGAGGACATTTTATCACATTCTATCTACTGGAAGGGAACAATAGAATACATTTTATTATGTTTAATCTACTGGAAGGAAACCCTAGAGGACATTTTATTATGTTTTATCTA